TCCCGGGCCGAGTCGAAAATCAAGGAAAAACTCGAAGAAACTGAGCAAAAGTGCGGACAATGCTTGGCCAAATCAATTAGTCACAATAGCCCAAGGGGACAGTTTTTGCCTAACCCAGCCGGCCGTTGAGCATTGTTGAATGATATGCCCGATATATACATATACACATATTTTTGTGCGCGTTGGCCTGGACCTGGCTGGGCACATAGAGCGGAAAGTCCTGCATAAGGGCGTTAATTATCGGGCAGACATTTAATGAATGCGCCCGGAGCGACGCGCACGTAATTTAAATTTGCTTAGCTGCGTTATGTTGTATGGGTGTGTGTATATGTGTGTGTTTGTGTGTGTGCTAAGTGTGTGACTGTTGTGACATTGCGACATCGCCTTTTGGCTAGTCGCTTAGTTAACTAGAGGCTCATCCAAGCAAACAGTTTAGTTTCCGCTTCCTGTTTGGGCATTGTTATCCTGCGCGTAATTAGCTGTGCGACAGGAAGCGATTGCAGCTCTTCAGGTTGAAAGAAAAAAACTAAATGATAACATCTACCCAAGACTAAGACAACTCTCGGCCGTCTTACATTTCTTCTTTACATTTCTTTCCCGCTCCTTCACTTCTTGGGCTTCCGACATTTCCGACAAGCCAAAATACCAAGTTATGTGACATGTGAAATACAGCTGTACCCGAATTTAATAAACCAATTTGCGCTGGTCATAAACATCGTTCAAGGCATACAAAATGGGATGAAAATCTATAAAACCGAATTTTCGCTAGTCATTTTTATTGCCACGTCCGAGCCAGCTGGCCAGTGGCAATGTGCTAGATTTAATGCTCATTGCTCCATTATAAAAGCATCATTAAAGCGGCTCAGACAATTGATTGATATATGGCGCCTATGATTGAAGGGAAATTGGAGCTCTATAGTGGGCTAGTTCCACAAATGACTTCATTAGTTTGAGGGCAAGGCAGGCAAATTGCAGTTACAGCTGCTGTTCACTTTACAGGAACTACCCTCAACTTTTGCTCAAATGAAAAAATCCTCGGCGCGAAAGTATCATATAACATATTTTAATTAAAGCTACGCTCACCTTAATTATATATCTACAAAAAAAATAAGGAAAAACTGTTAGAATTTGTGTGAAGCAATGTCTACTAAAAGGTATCTGCTTTCATATAAACATAAACTCTATGATTGATGCGCTGACAGCTCAGAAAGTCACACAAAAACTTGCGTAAAAAACTATAAAAATCGAAAGTTTTCCTCAAGGTCTCAGGTTTTCCAACCCCCCTAAGTGTGGAAACCCAACTTGCATCTGCTCAACAATCCGCACAGTCTATGCAAATCAGCTCTAACCGTCATCTGCCGTCGGTAGTGCAATTTGAGTAAGCGAGTGACATAATTCCCGACACCGAGACGAACTTTGATTGATATGTGCGCGTCCGTTGAGATCAGTGAAAGTTTCTCTGCTCGATGCGACAGCCGTGGCGAATTCTCGGACTGGTTGCAATTCTCTCTTTTCACTCTGCACTCGCTCTTTTTCTCTCGCCTCTTTAAAGTGTCAAAAATGGGTTTTCGTTGGGATTGATCACTTGAGCGGCGTTCTTAACATGATGTAGAGCGTGATTTCTTTTTCATTTTCATTTTTTGCATAATTTAGTCGGGGTTTACACGAGTTTTACAAGGGATAAACCGAGGACACGCCGGCCTGCCAACTTAGGGTAAGTGATGGGAAAAGTTTTGATGAGTCTTTGAAAGAGCTCAACTGACATTTTATGATGCTTTTAGCCATGGAAAGGAATATATATAATACACAGAATATATAATATATATAGTCCTGCGAGATTCAGCTGTAAATATTAAATACGACTACGTATAAATAAAGAGGCGATTTTACAGAGATTGAGCTGTATTGATAGCAACATTACTAAACTAGTACAAATTTAAACTTCTTCGAATCATACGAATTTTTGTAGATTTTTTAAAGATCCGAAGATTCTTAAAAGTAAATGCGCTTTGACCTAATGTCTGCGGAACAAATAACTGAACTTTTTATTAAATATTATGTTATGTTTTAATATATAATAATAGTAATACTAGAAGACATCCATCAATTGGGAGATTCCTGAGGCAAGGCCTTCTCAATGAACGATCTTCCTAAAAAGTCCTTGATAATCACAGTTTGTCGATCTTTCTGGTCCTCAGCATCATCCAATATCTCACTTTAATTTTGCACTCTCTAACCGTAAGCCGCACACTCGACCAGAACAAAATGCTCTGACCCACAAGACGCAAATATGTGGATTATGCAAACCAAATGTCATTAGTCAATGCAGGATAACTGTAGGCTCAATGGACCCATATTTGAACTCTGACCAGTAATGCGTTAAGTGGACAAAATGCCAGCAGAAATGATGCCAATTTCTATTAGTTTTAGCCCGACGAAAACATACAAAAAAGAGAAAGAAAAACCGCAATATGTGTACACAGAACTTCGCACAACCCTCGGAGCAGCCGGAGAAAGGTAAGAATAAGAAAGCTGATACCTGGGTAGGTAGATTGGAATATATTCGCATCGATTGGAGGTAAAACGTACCGAGAGCTACCCCCCAAAACTATTGGACGACATAAACAATCTCATTGTGCGCACTCGAGCCAAATGATGTGTGAGATATCAATTGTCAAATTGACAATAGAAATTGACAGATCGGTATCTGTAACGTTCCTATCGATAGATGAAGCTGCTGCTGCTGCTCGCACCGTCATAAAATTAGAAGTTTATTGATTTGTCTTGACACATTCGCATAGCCAAAAGTAAAAGGCACTGGGAAATCGCTGGGCATATGCCGAGATTGATGCACCGTTCGCTACTTTTCAGGCGCATTATCAATGGGTGTGCCACTCCTCTTCCTGCCGCCGTCTTACCCCTTGCTGATTTCGTTCGTTGTTCTATAAAAATTATATGCAATTATATACGAAAGCAAAGTATTTTATCTGTATGTACATATATGGATACACATATAAAGATATGCTGCCGCTGAGTTGTCATAAAGTGCGCAACTTTATGAGCCACTGTAAATATTTTGATGTCGGGCGCTAAAATGCTCGTCGGACATCCGCTGACGTTGGCCAATTTTTCAGTTTCCACACCCAGTGCTCACACATACTGAACTTCATGATGACGTCGTCTCTTCATTTCCGCACTGATGGACTGACAAATGAAGCAACGCTTCCGCTTCAAGTCTATCCAAGCACTTTTTGGTCTACGCCCCAATTCTAACTTATTTTCAATTTCGATTTCAATACAAAACGGAGAAAAAAAAACTATTATTAATGGCATCGTGACTTGCCTCTTTGCCTTTGAAGTACTGTTTTCTTGTTGAGACTAAAATTTATACTAATTATTATTAATGCTTTTTCCATAAACGCTGCTTCTTAACGGCTGTCGATGATGCCTCACATTTTAGAACTGTTCCTGGGTTTGTCTGTGGCATTGCCTGCGGGCTATGACAATGAAAGTTTAAATAGTAGGTCAGGAGGGTTCCATCATAACGGCGGTATGCGATTGATATGTGAACGAGATACTAGAGATTTTTTCTGTTTTTTTTTTTTTTTTTCATTAAGACAAATTTAGTTTTAGTTTTTCTTGGGAATTGTATAATGTTTGTATCTATTTAAAGCATACATATATGATATTAACATTCATAATGATAACAGTAATCATAAACATAGTTATAATCACATAATTATAGTTAGGTTTTTTGTGATAATTTGATTTAATAAAGCATAAGCATTGCTTCAATAGGAATTAATTTAGACAAAAAACTGCTATTTAGTGGCCATATGAGCAACATCATAGACAAAATAAACAAAACTATTTATATTCTTTACCCTTTTATAAACCGATTTTCTAAACATTCAACTAAAAATAAGCTAACAATTAACAAATCTTTCATGCTTCCAATGATAATGTACAATAAAAATGATCCTTAATCTACCACGATACCACAGAACCATATCTCTGCATAAAATAGCGAATATTAAAACGATTGATGATCAGCTCATCACTCACTCAAAAGCCAAATTCGTAATTCATCAGTTGATATTCTGCCTTTTCTTACTTGGAATGTCAGCTCTTGAAGTCTGTAAGACCAATCTTCTTGTGATAGATACCCCGTCAATATCAACTCCCTTCAGCTGGATATTCTAGGCAACTGAGTGTTTGCAAGCTTGTACTACTTTCCCTGCTATATAATATGAAGACCTCTTAATAAATAAACAAGCTCTAGTCCAGACTGCTCGACTAGGAGACCCTCTGAACCCTCCGCGGAACTGATATATCAATAATTCTTGGCGTCTTTCTGCGTACACAAGAGACACACACAGACACACACCCTCACATCTAAATATCAACTCTTCTGATCAGGAATAATGTACTTATATACTCCTTCTGACTGTTACATACACTCCATCAAAGCCATTATACCCTGATTTCCCACTTTCAATGGGTTCAGGGCATACAAATAAAGTTGGCTCGTCCTTTGGCAGCTGTGACTTCTTGCTTAGCTTTTAACTCCCTCTGCTGTTGGAATAACTCAAGGCACTCAGATACAAATTCAACGGCCTCAGCACAATCGACACATAATCTCGAGCCAGCAGAACCTGTCAGTGCTCAGCTCAGCTACCAGCTAAGTGTATCGAAGCAGGCGTCAGCTAAGGACTCCTGCAGCCGGTGTGCTTAATATGCAGCCTACTCGCCCACTTGGCTACAGCTCTTTTAATTTAATAAAAAGCATACAGCGCCAAGGATGCGTCTTTGAGCAGAGCTACCAAAGTCAGTCGTCCTCATCGCGCTCATCGCCGCTTTCGGCGGATATTATACCGTATATATGTATATACACACACATTTAGGGATCTGTATAATTTATATATATTCTTTTTGGCCAGTAGCTGAATGCAAACTACTCGCAAACTGGGTATGGTGCTGAGGGGCGACAAAGCCCCCTCAGCCAAACGGCGCTGGCAGCAGGATATTAACAAGGTAAAGTTAAAGGCGCCGCAGCCGCGTGGCTGTCAGCAGTGGGGCGTGGCAGGGTAGTACAAAAGCGTAATGTATATTAAATGCACTCAAGAAGATTCAATTCATATTTCAGAACGTTTTGCTTTCATTAGGCGACCAACAAAAGCAGAGGACGACGACGGCGTTCGAGCCCTGCAGGCGGCGACATGTGAGAAATTTGGGAAGCGCGTGCGCTGCCTTTAAGTGGTTTACGCCAAGAGGATTTCATTCTCTGTGTCAGGCTGATGACACCTGTGCACACACATACACACACGTACACAAAACAAACAGAGACAATGCCCCTGGCTGTCACCTTTCGCAATAACTGAATGCTACCTGGTCTGGCGTCTCGTTCTTGGCGTTGCCAACCGCAAGACTAACAAAAACACGACCGCAAATTGACTTGGATTTTGCCGTCGTTCATCCTTTGTGATGCTAAAAAATATTTAAGGAAATTAAACGGATTTCCCCACAAATTTCTACCCAATAATGTACTTAGGTCGCAAGTACAAGAAACGACTTCGAGCACTCGCTTAACTCATCCGATATGCTAATTATCTTGTCTGTGTCACACTCGGCTAATATGTATAGAAGCACTACTTAGCTGCGGGACTTTTGCAAACTTGCACTGTCAACTACTTCGCTAGGTAATTGACATCTACCGGAAATTGGCGAAAGAATAAGGAATTTGCCTTGGCTTCAGACAAAGGGTATGCAGAAGTTATTTGGTGGAGTCGAAAGTGCAACTAATATTTATAATGAGTCTTGGAATATTATATATGTTAAAGAATCAAAATATATGAGATTTATAAAGTATCTTCGAATATTAGCTGGATATAAATGGCTCGGTAAATAGTCTTACAACGGTTCTCTACTCAATTGAGTAAATTATCATTACAGATTTGTCTCCGGTTTTATATTCGCTGTTCACGAACACAGAACTAACATACTCAATCATAGTCTATCAAAGATTGAATATTCTTTATTTATATTGTAAGTTCTTAAAACTAATAAAATAACAAATATAATAGGAGATCGCAGTAATATTGAATTATACTTCTCAGAGGTTCCATCAAGTTTTATAAACATGCTATGTAAATGATTTGGATTAATTTAAAATCCCATATACCGCAAACGTTTATATACCCTGAACCCATTGAAATTGGGAAATCAGGGTATAATGGTTTTGTAAAAATTATGTAACGGGCAGAAGGAGGCGTGGTGTACCACACAAAGTATATATATTCTTGATCAGGGCGTCCGTCCGTCCGTCTGAGTGCGTCGATCTCAGAAGTTATAAGAGCTGGAGAGCTGAAATTTTGTAAGTTTATCATATTTTTCCTATAACTCATCAAAATTATGACAGCACTGTCAAGAATATATACTTTGTGGGGTCTGCCACGCCTCCTTCTGATGATTTCCCATTTTCAATGGGTTCGGGGTGTAAAAATAAAAGCAGCTGGCCATGAATTATCGATAACAACTTTCAGATGACGTTTCTAATTTATATCGCTAAAGACATTCGTACAAATCCTGTATGCGTGCTGAAAGCTCTGCTAAAATAATATTCTAAAAAATCGTAATATATCTGAATTTCACTAATTGGAGGAAATGGCAAAGCGCTTCTCGAACACACAATTGCCCGTGAGCTGTGTTGGCCACAATAGCGACGTGTACCAGCTGGCGTTCAGCAAGGTCTGCGAGTCGGGCTACTACTTGGCCTCGGCCTGCCGGGATGGAAAGGTGATGTTGCGACACGGCGACACCGGCGACTGGGTGGGCACCTTCCAGCAGAACGGCCAGCCCATTCTGAGCGTGGACATCAATGCAGATGCCACTCGTTTGGCCTCGGGCGGTGACGACTGTGTGGCGCGAATTTGGGATGCAGTCGATGGCAAGCAACTGACCAAGATGGTGTTGAACTCGACTGTGCGTTGCGTGGCACTCAGCTCCAAATCGGATTATCTGGCTGTGGGCTGCCTGGATCGAAAGACGGGCCATCGCACCGATAAGGTTCTCTATATGTACGCGCTGGAACGCGCAGAATCGCCGATGTCGTTTGCAGGACAGGCACGGGGCGTGCGGGATGTCATCTTCTGTCGGGATGATCGCGCGATGCTATCTTCGTCGCACGATCGCTCGATACGCCTGTGGGATCGGATTAGTGGCAAGCAGGTGCACTCCATTTCATTGCCGCACCATGCCAAGTCGTTGGAGCTGTGTGCGGATGGACGAACTGTAAGCATTGCCTACGGCCACAGCGTTGTCTTCGTCGATGTGGACCGCTTCGAGGTGTTGCGGCATCACAAGCTGCCTATCCGCCTAATCGGCGTCTCGTTGCATCCGGAGAAAAAGACGCATGTGTGTGCGGGCAGCAATCGCTGGATCTACAAGTGTGACTATGCCACGGGCGAAGTCCTGGAGACCTTCTACGCTCACGAGCGTCATATGCACTGTATCAAGTACAGTCCCGACGGCGAGGTCTATGCCTCATCCGCGGCCGACGGCGGGCTTCGCCTCTGGCAGCAGACAGTGGGCAAGAAGTACGCATTGTGGGATGCACGAATACTTTCGATCGAAGAGGGAGATGATGAACAGGGCGACGCAGATGATGACGACGAAGGCAACGACGACGGCAATGGCGACGACGAGTATGAGGATGAGGATGGGGATGACGATGACGATGACGACGCTGTCAACTACGACGGCAACGGCGATGATCGCCGTGGCGCCGTCAGCGTCGGCGGTGGCGTCGGCGTCGGCGTCGGCATCAGCATCGACGTCAGCGGTGACGGCGGAGAAGGCGGAGCCGGCGGCGACTGCGATGGCAACAACGGCAGTGACTGCGATGACGTCGAAGAATACGGCAATGAAGAGGGCGAATGCGAAGAATACTACGAGGAAGAGGACGCATACGAAGACGGCGTCGCTGGCTCTGACGACGCCGATGCGCAGTCGTATAGTTACGCTTAGAACTCAGAGTAAAAAGAAATCGGCCCCAAAACCAGAATCCACAATCTCGAAAACTGGATATCAACTGTAGTTGCACACGTGTTTAGCGTTTCCTTGGGTTGATTTTCATCAGTTTTTTAAATTTGGTTCCAATAATAATAAACGAAAAAGGGTCACGCTCTGGTCTCTCTAATAAATTTGTCTGCGACCGAGCGGTGTTTGTGTGATTGACTGCCCCCAATCGATCTACCTGTGTCTGCCAGTCTGTACCCGCAAGCCTGTCGTGTCCGTCCGGTTGTCCCTAAGCCGCGACTCTAGCTACCTAACATTTTATTGTCTTCTCTTTTTTGTATACCATGTAGTCTCTGTAAGAGTGGGTATACTGTATCATGAGTTCAGTAGTTTGCTGTGTAGATATATATGTATATCTGTAGATTTCCTACATTCATGTTTCTTGATAGTTTATATATAAATTATTTATAATCTATACATAAGGATATTTAGTCTTCGAAATATTCCAACCAAAAGCTCTAGAAACATGAGAATATGAATTTTTTTGAATGTATGCAGAAATAATGGTACAGTTACTAATATGCAGATATTTATTGTTAGCTTTATCGAATTCGGAACAAAATAGCATTAGTGATATACCATTATGGTAAAGATATGATGCAGTAATTTCAAGAATTTTGTATAGAAACTGTTCACAGTCTAGCAAAATATCATGTCACATTCGTCGAAAAGAATAATAACTAAACTCAATGACTAATCACTTACAGTTATGATGTAAAGGGTACTGAAAATTTAAATAATTTTTATTTTTAAAGACATCGGAAACACTTTTCTTTTCTAATAAAAAAAAATAAAATATGTGATATCTAACAATAGTTGATATCTAACAGTCGTGTACAGCAGCCTGCCACATCCTCACACGTTTATTGTTACTCACTTCGAATGCTCAACCTGTTTTCGTTGCGCATTTGACTGAGTAAAAGGTTTCTGAAAGGATTTTAGGAAAACCCAAAAAGACGTGGTCCAATGCCCCAAACTCTCTGGTGTTTGGTGTTGTTAATGCTGCTTCTCACCAAATCAGAGTCATAAATGCATTTTATTATTATTTATACAGTCGAGGCAGTCAACAAAACGTGGCCCTCTGGGCATTGAAATCGTTTTATTATGCATCCGAAAGGCAGTACGTAGGCTCTCGATTTCTCTCACTTTGGGGTAGGTGCAAGGCGAGAGAGTCTGGCTGCAGCGAATGCACGACTGATAGACTAGGCAAACAGAGATACGAAACGCATGAAGATACAACGCAGCATAGATATAAAGTTTTTGGTGGGGCAAACAACGAAATGCTGACCTAAGTTACCTAACAAGATTTTGTCACTTAACTTCGTATGTTTGTTTGTTCTTGCTGCAAATGCATTTCCATAAATATATATGTATATACACAAATTTTCTTCTGCTGATAAAACAAGTTTTCCACACACATACACATACACAAGTAAACCCCCTGCTGCAGCAATCATGCTGCGCTTAGTTTCCACGCGTTTACCAGGAAAAACACTCCAGTGAGGACGTTTCCAGTCTGTCTCTGTCTCCCTCTCGCTATCTGCTTCTCTTTTGGTTTGTTTATCTAGTATTCCAATAAAACGAAATGAGTTGTCATTTCGGATCGGTCCTGCAACAAGGTTTTTATCTCCGGCACAAGTGTGCGCCCTGATTGATGAGGATTGTTATTGCAGACTGGCACAAGTAGCACAGTAGCCCGGAAAAAGGATTTCGTTCTCAACGGTAGCCAGCCCAAATATTTGCATATGTACAATATTTAAAATGTCCTATTTGCATTGCATTTGAAGAAAAGTCATCAATATGGCTCATCAGCGCATTAATTTTGGGTGATCTTCACTGTCAAATAGGACTCCAGCACTGACCGCAGCAATTTGTCCGAGAGTCTCAGGTCCAAGATAAGCCACAAGTCATTTATAAATGTCATGCGCATTTCTGATTTGTTTTTATATTAATGATTGGTCATTTAGCAGGGATCGAGATTCTTAGCACGGATAGAAGCAGCGCAATTGAAATAAGAGGGAGAATTTGATATGCAGGGAGTGTTTAGATGTTTGAGGAAGCACGATCTGGTTTTGCTCAGATTGACAAATGTGGATCCGGCAAAACGAACTTTCCCAGTCCAGAGTACAGAATGTATGGAAATCCAAATTATATTAGTAATCCACATTTATTGACAATTTAAAGCCGAGATCTACCATGACTTTGCTGAACTTCATATACATCTTAATCGTTGCCGTACCAAATATTGACGTATCCATGCAGCATAGCGCTGTGAACTCTATATTTGAGGGAACTAAACATTGAGGGAATCCATATCAGTGAAGCGTGGCTAATACACATTTAATTATTCTTGCCAAACAGAGAAAAAAAAGCTTGGTAATTTGGACAATAATGATAAGTGCTTAGGTTATAGAACAATTCAAACTTTTAAATATCTGCAAAAAAAAGGAACACAAAATGTATTTTATTGTTAAAAGAAAAACTTTGTTTTATATGATCTCTCTAATATTTGAACTACTATTTAAATTAAATCTAATATACTACCACGTATTAGTACAAGACGAATTTTGATAGATGCTAAAAGGGAAATAAATATAAATATAAAATACGATCACAAATAAAAAAAATATACGACCATATATAATATTGAAACTATAATAATAATAATATTTATATAGGGAGTGATCTTTGCAGCTGCTTCAACTAATTCTCATAGTTCCCAATATAAAGGAATTGCCGTACAGCGCAAAAGTAACCCATTTACTTGGTTGAAAAAACCCGAAGTCAGTTGCACCTCACTTACAAAAGAAATTACAATTTTCCCATAGGCTGTTAAACTTTATTAGACCCTATCGAAAACACTTCCGCTACTTGATGTGAATAATATCGTGACAAGCCCTTAAAAACGAACGCGAAAAATATCCTTAGCCATAGCGCACCTGCCCCAGAGTATCTCAGTTCCGAATTGAGCTTTGCGGTCACAGTTCGTGAGCTAAACAATTTTATGGCAATTTCCTTGCGAACCAGAATGATATATATGTATATATATATGTATGCATATGTATGCAGGCATAGAACAAAATATATCTTATGGCAATTTGGAACGTTACTTCGACTGTCACGCTAGGTGGGCAGGAAAAACTCGACCGGCCGCCCGCTAGGAACACGTGGCATATCGTATGCTAAGTTAGTTTTTTATTTTCATTATACTATCTTTGTCTCTGGGCTCGGGGGGTGTCTGTTGATTTTGTGTTCCGGTAGGCGCGATAAGGCGTGCTGCATTCGAAATGAGTGTAACGTATATTTTATGCAGTGTCCATTGAGGTTTTACCAAGTGAGATAATACTAGTATATTATGCTTACAATGGCGACCTTCAACTTGGGCTTCTTATCGAGACAGAGAATAGAAAAGAGACACTCTTATCACTCGAAAGGAGACCATGAAAGAGAGTAGAGTTATAGATTAAACAGACGCAATATTGCGCTGATAACTTGAACTATAAAACTTTTATATTATTTGCTTATCACTCAAGTATAGATCTAGGCATCAGAAATGTTTGATCAACTCAGAAAATTATCAAATATTGACAGAGATTTTTGATTCGTGCTGTATGAAGGTATGGAATGACCTTTATATAAGTCTGTGAGTATGCAATCTATCGTCGATCAAAGTCCTATAATATTGTCGAAACTTCTTATCATAAGATAGAAATGTAAACGCATTCCCCATTATAAATTTATGTCTAACAGAGTTTATAGAAGCTAAACAGATACAAATAAAATCAAAATTGGACTATTGATAACAATATTGTCAACATTTCTAAATTATCTAGAAATTCAGTTGTTGTTTACATATTTTTTGAAAATCCTTCGATAAATATTAAGTAATGAAATATTTATCTTAATTTTATATATTCATTTAAAGTTCGATTAAAATATGTAGATCTGTCAAGAAATGTTCTTGTTTATTACGACAGCCAGCATTAAAGGCTCATTTTTCTAAGAAAACAAATACGCATCTAAATACCCGCACGTTCCAAAGTTGGGCAATCCTTTGATGAGCTGCCCTTATAAAGGATTATGAGCACCACTTGAAGGACACCCCGAATTTTGTTGAGCTGAGTTACCTCTTTCATTATTGCTGCACAATTCGACGCCTCTCTTTTCCGTGTGTTTACACTGCAAAATGCTGCCCATATACATTTTCAGTACATCCTGTTAAGATATCGTCAACTCGAGAAAATTACTTAAAAGGATCACGAACTCTCGCCAGCAATCCATGGGCCTCCCCCCTTCAAGATCGTGACTTGTTTATGTTTCAGGCATGACTGCAACCCAACGCCGCCAGAATTTTTCCAAATTTGTTAAAAAGTGTGTAAATTTACGTTCCTATATTCTTCAGTTTTTTTTTTTTTTTTTTTGTGTTTTTTTGTTTTTTCTTCAGTTTTAGGAGGGTGTGTCTCATAAACATATAGCTCTGCGGTATGTCTGGCTAGAGGGGCGAGTCAAAAGAGACTTGGCTGCCTAATCGATCTATAGATCGGTTTCCTCTGCAGCCTTTTCTGGGGTGATCGCACTCGAGGCTCGGTTTTTCCTTTTCCACTTTTGGACAAAAAAAATTGAAGTAAAACAAGAGTTTTTCTTCTCTTTTCTCGGCACAAAGCAAATGATGTCTTTAGCTATGAACCGAGTTGACTTTTTCTATTCTTTTTGTCGCTTTTTGTGCACTTTAATTGCATTTGTGCAAAGAACATAAATCGTATTTTATTACCTTGGCAATGTAATTTAATTTTTTACGATTTTGCACTCGAATGGCGGAAAGCTTGTGAAATCTTTGTAAATATATGTTGTTCAAATTATATTAAAGAAAGCTCCCTATGTAACGGCTGCAAGTTTCATTATCTTCACACTCTGTTTCGCCTGTTCTAATGCACTTTTCCATCGACTGCCCCACATTTGAGAGCCAAGGCCCCCGAGCTACAATTGGAAAGTGAAACTGTTGTAAAACGGTTGGAAATTGTCTGCGCGGCCGCCCTAAATCCAATTTGTCCGACTCTGACATGGCATCACATACACATGCAAACAAGCACACGCACACAAATAAACCAAATCCAGTTTCAGGTTAAACAAACCGAATCCAAAACATTTTTATCTACTCATCGTATTCAAGCCAAAAGTACAGCTCCAACCCGGGCTGCAACAACGATGCGCAGGGATTTCTCCGTAAGCCGAATAAAGTATGTTCTTATTAATATACATACATACATACATACATACATACGTAGTTTGCATAAAAATTTAAATAATTTGGTAGCTGAACCTATTTTATATAAGTATTTAATAAATTCTTTACACTATCGCATGAGCTGCTAGTATGCTAGTATTAGTTAAGTTTTAAATACTTCTGCTCCTACGATGCTTTCATTCCTTCTATTCATCGAGCATTACAGAACTCATATTAAATTGGGTATGCCGCAGTTTTCTTAGGGTATGAGGAAAACAACAGCGTGAGCGTTGACTCTCTGCTGCTGCTTCGATCATTTTGAATTGGAGGGTTGCTATGCCACTGGGCCACTGTTACCAGTACGTTATATGGCAACGCTGCGGTGGTTGTTTGACGTTTCGTTTTGTGGTTGTTCTCTTGCGCTCACAACCTCTCGTGCGCTCTCCGACTCTATGAGACTGAGTCTGAGTGCAGCACTCAAGCAAGCAAGAGCGTAATGTGTCCGCTCTCTGAGCGCAAAGATAAGCGTGTATAAATATCATTTTTAACCGTTTGCTTACGTTCAGTTTTGTTATTCTGCTCGTTGCGCTCGGTCGAAGAGTGCGTTCGCAGTGCGCACTATAAGGCAAACCAACGAAATATTCATAAAAAGAAACAAAATCATTCGAACGCTATTATAAAATATATTTAACATATTACAACTTATGTTGTAAAGCAAAAGAAAAACACTAATCATAAAGTGCAAGCAAGTTGAACGCGTATTTCACACAGTCGCAAGTTAGACTCAACTCAACTCGTCAGTTTCTTCTGTGCCTTGAGTGAGTGGTGTATTTCTACGTGACCAATAAGACAACGATAATCGACATTTGCCAGTGCAACAAAAAAGCAGTACACAACACATTTGTTTATATCATATTTCTATACAAATACTCAAAAACAAAAAAAGCAACAAATACGAATTTCACTTTTAAAGACGCAAAAAGAACAGCAAGAACGAACCGCACACAAGCAAACATTTACGCTCAGGCCATCAACGCGACGACGAGTTGTGGAGACTCGTGTCGCGTGTAAGTGTGAGTGCGTGTGAGATTGCATGGGAGTGTGTGAGTGAGCTCTCCCCTCTTTTTGCTTTGGCAACGAAGACGTACAGGCGAGCACAAAAAACAATTTTAGTTCCCGCCAAAACTTTGACAGTTTGCTTAGTCGCCAATTCGCAAACAAGTGGAAGCAAGTAGACACAGAAAGACTCAAAACATACGACACGAGAAAAAACAAAAAAACGAAAAAAATAAGAAATACATCAATAAACCACGCAAAGAAAGTGCAACAATAACAACAGCATGGTCAGCGCACGAATGCTCCATCCAGTGGTGCTCAGCGAGTTCTGCAAGATGAGCTACAGTCCAGCCAGTCGATTGCAGTCGCCCTGCGTCCGCCAGTTGGACGTCAATCGCATCAAGCGCAATCTGTTTGGCTCAGTGCCGCTACAGGAAAACAAACCGTACGTAAAATAATAGTATTTAAAATGTAGATTCATATATTCTGTATCATTATTAACATATGTACATCATTTCTATTTTTAGTAGCTTCTTTAGCGCTGAGCTAGAGCTTCAGCAGGAGCGCGCCTCGCAGAAATGGGGCTTTGATTTTCGGGCAGATCGCCCGCTGGCCAGCAATGCTAGCTACAACTGGCAGCGCGTTAGTTCGCAAGAGTCGACTTTTGCCCCACAGATGTACACCCTCACCCGTGCCGCTCATGTGCGACCGGCGGCTGGACCGACAAGCGATATGGATGCGTTGCTGAACGATCGGGCAGATCGTGAGAATTCGGCAAATTCCTCGCTGGACTCGAGCGCGGACACCGAGTATGACTCGCAGGATGAGTCGCTGAGTTTCAAATGCAGCAGCAGCAGCAGCATCAGTGTGGTCGCCTCCACGTCTGCAGCCGCATTGATCGCCTCCGCCTCCTCCTCCGCCACCGCCTCAACCTGCAGCTCGCCCGCGCAGCAACGGAAGCGACAGCTTAAAATCACAGGTGAGTTCTGTTTCCTGCTGCGCCCTATTTATGCTACTACCCTAGCGATCCTCCCCAACCTACCTTCCCAGCGTTCTGCCTGATTGCACTTGAACTTGGTTCTTTTGTCCGTTATAAATTCATTTCCCATAACGCTCTATGCCCACTCTTTAGTGGGTGAGCTCGTGAAATGGGAACTAAACCCAAACAAACTGCGTACAGTGCTCGCACGATAACCACTACTGTGGTAAAAAACGTTTGAATGATTATAATTAAATTTAATTTTTTATCAGATAAAAAATTTTCTGTAACTTGGATCTTTGTCAAAAGAATTCTCCAAATTTTCGTATAGAACAATTCTTATATATATATATTTATTTATTTATTTTTTATAGATCCATAAGTACCTAATATTCATATTAGATTTTCAACATTTATGGATATAGTACAGAGAACTAGATGAAATGTAAATTTTTTTTTTTTTTTCCAATGTTTCTATTATTTATGTATGCTACGAATTTCAAACCAGCCAAACTTAAAAAATATTTTGAATTCTCTGAAAATTGATAAACTGTTTTATGTAAGAGTTCACTGCAATCAAATTACATAAAACACATATTAATTGACTATCTAATTGATCATGTATAAGATTTATTGTGTACACCGGAAAGTAAAGACTTCTCAGACATATCATATATGTATGTATATCATATCCTTAATGCATTCCGAGGTTAGTTCATTAATCGTTTTCTGCCATGGGCGCAGCCTTTTTCATTGATTCTCGCGTAGGCGTTGTTCCAACATCCCCAAAAGTGAATGCCACAATAACTGGCTCTACCCAATGCGGCTTTAAGGCGTATAATTAGTTTTGTTTGATATGATTTGGTCAAGGGGTTACGATATAGCAGTGCGATCAGCTGCAGCTGTTTTCGAGCTCTGATTCCCCCAACCGCATACCCTCCCCATCCCCGCTGGCTCTGCCTCTGGCCTAGAGTCAATGCACGCAACATCCCTACGATTGCCCCTGCGACTGGGACTGCGACTGCGCCTGCGTCGCGGGGGTTGATTTTCAAATGTGATCATTGCATGCGGGTTGCTGTAAATGTTAACAGATGTGCGCGGCTCTGCTTCGATTTGACCTCATTAGAGGCAGCCAAAAGCAGAGGCAGAGGTAGATAGAGCGAGAGAAAGAAATAGAAAGAAGGAGCGAGGAGGGGGAGCAGCACACAATGCGCCGCCATCAAAGCGCTGCGCTTATCAACAGCCGTTGATTGCTTTTGTATTATAATTTCTGTCTCTCTATTTTTTGTAGTGCCACTTGGCACAGTTATTAACATAAAAAACGGAACGAGAGAGAAATAAGTGTCTGTGCTGGACAGCCCGCATGTATCTAGCCTTGTTGTGGGCATGGCTGTACTTTTGTGCAGCGAAGCCTAGAATCTTGCCCAGTTGGCAGTTGGGCGTGTAATTTATGCAGCTATGCAGCAAGATCGATGCAGTGCTGACTACCTGAGTGCGCCTCTCGTTTTCGTTTCGCGCTCATTCATTTATTTCGTTCAGCTACCCCTGCTGTGGCAGCCAACCCCTGGCCAGCCACGTGCCACAATTCCGAAAAATCAAAATGTGCAAAAACAGGCGGCGCCTGCTGTTATTATTAAGCATCAGACAACAAATGTCGTGACTCATTCATTCACTCGCTGAGGGTAGCAATGCCAGCTGACTCTGATATCCCTGCCTCTATTTGTATTTTATTTGATTACTAAATGTCTGCCCTTTGTTTCTTCTTCTAGAGTTCATGAAGGAGCGCAAGCGACTGGCTCAGGCGCCCAAAAAACTGTCACCCGCCAAACGTTTGCGTACCAGCTCCGGCAGCAGTAGCAGTAACGCGAATGCCACCTCCGTCGGAAGCCTGCTGAAGCGCACGCGCCACAACTAAGACATCAACACAAACGTCAAACACAACCTACACAACTTGCAATTTGTAATTTAATTTTGATTTTTTACAACACTGCAAAGGGCAACATACGTATTTTTTTACAAACACGATTCACGAAACGAAACACACCAATACATTTCTATAGCGTAAATTTTAAGTAGTTTTCACATTGCATTTTTTTACATATACAAAATTAACTACTCATTTTTGTGCAGTGCAAGGGCGAAAGTTGCGAATATTAACATATAGTTTAACTAGTTTATATGCCAGTTACTACAACCAGTACTAGTACTAGAACAAAATAGATTCTAAGCATTAGCCAAGTAGCTACATCGAGCTATATGAAACTTATTAGATTTCTCTAGTGAGAAATGCCATAAACTAAGTGATTAGTTCTTAACAACTACAACACCAGCTAAATCAACATTAAGAACAATAGGAAATCGAGATAACGTTAATCTAAATTGTAAAGAAAATCAGAAAATCTTGAGACATCTTTAATGAAAGCCACATTTGAATACCATCCTTAACCATGAATTATCTAACTTAACTAAACTAAATTGTAAATCCAACCTGTTAAATTTTACCAGCAACCTACGAGTTCCTTGTAAATTTTGCAATTCAAAACTTGACGTAGTTCTGCGTTCCTTGAAAATTCTTTATACTCATTTGTTTATATATGAACATTTGATTGAATGCAGAGTTATGTTGATTTTTGTTCCTTTAACCAAAGCAATCACTAAAACTCACAATTATAATTATAGTTTAATTAGTAATTATAATTGTTTTTGTTTTTGTGGCTGTGACTGTGAACAAAGTCCTTAAATTCGACCAGTGTAATAATATTTACAAATTAAGTCTATCTCCTTTGCTAATTTGTGAGCTTTTGCAGATTCTTAATTTGGTATTTGCAAAATCTCATGAATTTGCCATTACTCAATTGTAAACTTTATATAAAATTAATTTCTATCCGTTGCCAAATTGTTTGGCAAAAGATGAATGAGATTTTGCTTAACTCTAATGTACAAATGCTATGAATACTAAATATATATTCATATATATGTATTCACATATATATACTTATATATATCAACTATTATATAACTAGGCAGAGCCTATATTATTGAATAACACTTACACTGATCATCCTACTTCATAAGTCTAGCATATAGAAAAAATCCAAAGTATTTATATCTAATGCATATTGTGTTTATAACCCCACTCATACTTCAATAAAACAAGAAAACAAAAAACGAACTATCATTCAATATTACGTCTAGAATTATTCATTTTTATGTTATTGTTTTCCTTTGTACACACGTATTTGTTTATACACTATAATATTTAGTTTGTAATTTGATTTCCTTAAGTTCTTTTGTTTTTTTTTTAATAAACCTTTGTTTTTCTTCATGTAGTAGATTAATTTTGATTATATTTTAACTAGTTCTGCGGAGCTACAAATAAGTCCTGCTGTGTTTTATATGAACAGGTTATCGGTTTATGAATTTGTGAATTTGTCAATGTGTTCGGGCTATGTTGATTTGTAAATTTGATTGTTTTAAGACTCTATATTTAAATATCATTTCACATTTTAATTGAATTGATTAGGAATTACGACCAAATGAATTTCATATATTAAAAGAAACAAATCGGTTAGGTATATATATATCGATACGATTTTTATGTCGAAAATGTTTGATTTTTATACTCATTCACGAAATGGAACGTTTGTCAGCTAGCTGTTTAGAAATTGCTATCACGAGCCTTAGGACATGAAATTTAAAAAAATTCCTATGGAAATGGATTAGATTAGATGGAAACTACATAGTTACTTAAAATATCACTCTAATGTCGTTTCTTAATGCATTGGCATAATGAGGGCGCATGGTACATTTTATCTAAAATAAATTGTCCCGGTAAATGTATAGGTATACCATATTTTACGTAAAATATTTTTTTGAGTCAAATAGAAAAATTTATTGTCCTTATATAATGATCACATGCTAATTTTTTAAGCGGCTATCTAAGGATCAATTTGAATCCGAGTAAGAAAGGTCTAGTAGATGTAGATTTAAGTTCGGGTAGATAAGAGTAAAAATCGAAATTAATTCAAATACATATGAATTCAAATTTTAAATTTAGAGACTCGAACTCAAGTATCTAGTATCGATATTTTGAAACGAAATAACTGGTCTCTATTGTCGCACTTTTCAGAATTTCGTACTCGCACCTACCCAAGACCGATTGATTTTCAATTGAAGTCTTCCATTTAAGTTTTATTTTCAATAAATTAATATCATTTATCACTTACGACAAATACATAAACAATTTGATTCATGCGAACATAGAAATTGACTAACTGTAACTGTGATTAACTAAGTTTGTATTTGTATTTTCCTTAATGTTGTTCTCTCATTAATTGCCATTGATTTTTGAGCTGCTTTTTGAGTTTATAGTACATGAATTATATATAGGATTATATACAGTATTCAGATGGTACCGTCTGTCCACTACTTCCCCGTCGCCTTCTCCTCCAGCTGGGCCTGTATGTGCTTCACGTTCTGTCCGCCGCTGCTGTGGCTGTGTCGCTGGAAAAAAGCATTGATGGAGCTCATCGACCGGTACTCGAGATTGTCGCTAATATGCCAGTCGACGCTGATGCTCTGATGCCTGCCCACGGGGTTGCGTATCTTCGTTTCATTGTACTTCTCCAGCAAATGCAGCAAGCAATCCTTCGTCGTGTTGGCTGCCTCCTCCAGATTCACCGTCTGATGCGTATCCGGCAATCCGATGGGCACGTCGCGACTCATTTGGTTGATGCGAAACTTGGCTCGTCGACTGCTTGCCGACTCCGTGAAGACATGATTGCTTGAGCTGGCACTGGAGCTGTTGCTGTTGCTGTTGCTGGTGCTGACGCTGGAACAGAATTTGGAGCTGCTGGTGCTGGTGCTGGTAGTACTCTTCTGCATATGGCTCTTAGCATTGGCCGTGCTCATGGTGCTCACTGTAGACTGGCTGCGCAGCTGCGACTGGGACCAGCTACTGCCACCATTGCCATTGCTCAGCTTCGGCGTCTCCTCTATGGACTGCTGCAGTCGCGCGGACAACGAGCTCCTCTTCTGCTGGCCATCAGCAGATCGCACTTGAGTCTGGCTGCTGGAGCTGGAGATGGAGCTGGCACTGTGCAGCTGCCCGTGTGAGCTCACGTGGGTGCTGCGCGCGCTGCTCTTCACCTTGTTGGCTTCCTGAGTGATGCTGCTCTCAGTGGTGCTCGAGTTGTTGTTGCTGTCGCCCAACTTGGTGTTGATCTCGGCCAGCATGAGCAGGTGATCGGAAAGCTTGCGTATTTCGTCTGCCAGATTGACGCGCTCTCCGGAACTGCGCCTGCCCAGCAAGTACGTTGTGTCCGAGTTTCGCCTGTCGAATGTGTGCAAATAGCTCTTCATGCTGCGCCGCTGCTGTGCGCTGCTTTCGCTGCCGGAGAACTCGTCGAAGTTCTCGTTGAACAGATGCTGCGGCGTGGGCGTGGCACAGCCAGAAGTGCCCGCTGCTCCCACTGCTGGGAAGAGCTTCTCGCGGGATTCATTAATGGGCGTGGTTGCAACCGAATGGGAACTGTCAGCGCTGGGCTCATTCTCCTCGACGCCCACTGCAGCTTCCTGTTCATCGTCCGTCAGCGTCGCTATGGACTCACATGGCGAGGGCGAGCAAACTGTAAAGGCAAATGGATTTTAGTCTAGAGCAGTTGGGCGACGTAAAGATCCACAGACAAATTAGGTTATTTTTGCGGTTAGGTTCAGACGAATTAGTGAAAGTGGTACATCCGAATTTGATATATTTAGAGGTACATATAGACAGAAAATTAGAGCATGCGTATGAGACAGACAGCCCAGTTTGTTAACAGAGAAGGTTATAATGGATCGTAACCACTAACCCTGATAGACAAAATACTGTGCGCAAGGATCGAACTTGAAGAAATGAGCTATGCACTGGTTTTGTTCTTTTTCTGTATAAGATATTACTAAAAGTTTTCTCTAACAAAGTTTCGAAACTACAATTATTTTTGTTAAAATTGTTTTTTTTTTTTTTATGAAATTTGTTTAAGTTTCCAATAATTATATGTGACTTTTAAGAAATTGAGAATATAATTAGTTAACGCTCTTTTATAATTATCAGTATGGGTTAATTACATTATTTAATGACGCATTCCTTAAAAACCAAAATTTAGCTTTGCGATTTCGGCTTTAAAATTGAAAAAATTTAGAGCTTTAGGAATATAAAATTGTAATAATTTGTAGGTCTCAACACTTGAAAGATATTTCAAAAGTTGCCTAGAAGTATTTTAATAATTTCTTACAGATATGGAACGCAACACAAATAAGCATCATGTTTTGATGAACAAGAAACCCGTTGAATGAAATGATATTTTGACTTAAACTTTTGAATTTGGCAGCATTGATCGACAGGTTTTGCTATATCTTTGATCGATGAATGGAGCTTACCTTGTCCGATAGTTTTGAATCTGTGGCTACGTGTTGAGCTAAACTTGAACTGGGTTTGGGATAATGTCTTAACTTGTATTCGATTTGTTATTGTTTGTTTGCTTTTGGAATGTTTGGATAGCTGTGTGGCTAATGTATTTTAAAGAAAACTTGTTGTATTTGAATTTGAAGTATATTTTGGTATTACTCTTGTCATTGGCTGTCTTTATCACAGTGGCGAAACGCTAAGCAACTTATACAATAAGGCGATTTGGTTAATAGAGGTAGCATCCGATATATGGATGCGCTTAAATCTACAGTTACTTAAAACCTAAGCCAACAACCTTTGAAAGTACTTTGTTGCTGTTGGCATGCCGTATTTCTCTCACACATACACGTACAACATAATTACAATATAGCTCATTAAAAGTTGATATGTTAACACAAAACACAAATTGATTGCAATATACATACATAAATAATAATAAAAGAAAGGAAAAGTTAAGACTGAGAGGCGGGAGAGCTTTATGAGCGGGCACTAAGCGTGCCCTTCTTTGCGCTTCTCATTAAGCCAACTTGGTCTACATACAAAGTTAACAGAGAGTGAGAGAGAGAGAAACAATTAGTTGGCTGACTTTTGTTTTGTTGCTCTTTTGCTGTTGTTTTGAAGTTAATTATGTAATTTACAAAATTGGTTGTGATTGCCTCGCCCCGCTCATTTGCCATGGATGAGCGCATGCCGGTCGCGCTGCCTCTGGGAGCCACCATCGCGGCAGTACTCACCTCGCGACGAGGAGATGCTGTCCGGAGCATGGGGCCGGTGGGGATGCGTGTAGCTGCTCTCATTTAGAGGCGCTATCACGTTGCCCTCGACGTCAAAGACGTACGGACTGTTCGGATGCGTCTCCCAGCGCACTATGAAATTCTTTAAATTATCCTTCGTGGCATCCAGCTCTTTGTTCTGCATGGAAACATTAGGCAAGCAGAGAATGTTACAGTGCGCAGAGCTTCGCTATTTAGCTAACTTTCTGTTTACCTCTAGCTCATGTGTTTTGCAATGCTGCGCCAGCTCCTCGCTGTCCTCGTCCTGTTCCGTCGCCTCACCCTCATCCTCATCCTCATCTCCATCAACATCCGCATCCTCGATTGTTTCCGTTGAATCCTCAGAAGACTCAGACGCTAACGTTATGGGTGACTCTGACTTCAGTCGCGTCTTGCTGCTCACTGAGTTGCTCTTGCTAACGGTTGTTTCAGCTCCTGCTGATGCTCCTGCTACTGTTCTAGCTGCTGAGGATGCTGTTCTCTTGAGGGGCGTGGCGGGGGGATGCTGCTGCAGCCATTTGTGTTTCACACAATCGGCGGCTGTCATGCGGGTGCTGTGGGGCATTTGGTTGATTAAAAGAGCGAGTGCTGGTTGAGTGGCCCGGTTATGGGCTAGACAACTAATTAACAAAAAACCCACCTCAAGTCCTTGACTAGGAGCTTCGATATGAAATCCAGGCACTCCGGGGATATGCCATTAAAGCATTCATCCTCAAAATCGTATTTTGCAATGGTTACATTTGACATTGTTTCAATGTCGTTTTCGCCCATGAAAGGCGACAGACCAGATATGCTGTAATTGTTTTTATTGTTCCACGTGTGTGTGTGTGTGTGTGTGTGTGTGTGTGTGTGTGTGTGTGTGTGTGTGT